CTATCATCTACTGCACTATCCGCCATACTGCATCTACCTGTCATCTGCATCTTCCATCTACTGCATCCACCCATCATCTACTGCACTTCCATCATATTCCCATCTACCTATCATCTTGCATCCACCTGCCATTACTGCATCTACCCATCTCTGCACTTCCTATCATCTACTGAATCTACCTATCATCTGCATCTTCCTATCATCTTACCATCTACCTGTCATTTACTGCATCTACCTATCATCTGCATCTACCTATCATCTACTGCATCTACCTGTCATCTACTGCATCTACCTATCATCTGCATCTTCCTGTCATCTACTGCATCTACCTATCATCTACTGCATCTACCTGTCATCTACTGCATCTACCATTTACTGATATAACTATCGATCTCTATTACATATATATCTACTGCATCTACCTGCCTTTCTGCATCTACCTGCCATTACTGTCTGTCATCCTGATCTACTGCAGGGGCAGTGAAATTTTAACTCAAAGCTGCACATTATCACAAAGGATGACAAGAGTCAGGTTATTGGACCACATAAGCTGCGGGATGCGAGACAAAAATACCGATTTAAGAGGCAAGAAATTGAGATGGCTAGTTTAGATAATTTGGCGTCACTCTATTTTGATGGTAAGAAGACCGCCACTCGTGTGATGATAAAGAATGAGAAGACCGAGAAATGGAGTTCGAGGATGATGGTGAAAGATCATTATGTCATCATGGTTGAGCCTGGCAATGAATATCTCACACATGTGACTCCCAAGACTGGACACGGAAAGCAGATTGCCAAAACTATTCACGAGTTTCTGGTGGAGAAAAATCTAACCCAGCAGCCCATTGTGTGTGTTGGTTGTGATGGAACCAATGTAAATGTAGGATCAGAAAATGGAGTCATTCATCATCTTGAAAATGTTACTTGGTCACCCGCTCCATTATTTCATATGTCAGCTTCACGGAAATGAGCTGCCTTTCCGCGCAGTTTTTTATCACTATGATGGTAAACCAAGTGGTCCTGAGCATTGGCGTGGTCCCATTGGAAAGCAGATCAAGGAGTCTTTGTGTAAGCTTCCAGTTGTCGCCTTCCAGCCAGTCAGTTTCCCTGATTTCCCTGTGTTTAATGATGAAGTGGAGAAAGATCTGTCCTGGGATCAGAAATACCTGTATAGGATTTGTAAAGGAGTTATCACAGGTGTTGTTGAAGATGACTTGGCTGCTATTGAGCCAGGTCCTCCCTGTGTGTCAAGGTGGAACACCTTATGGAGTAGAATCCTCAGGCTGTATGTAGCAACATCAAGACCCAGCCATGAGTTGAAAAGAATTGTCATTACAATAATAAAGTTCAATGCTCCAATGTGGTTTTACATCAAGATACACCCTTACGTAACACACGGCTCAAGGAACGTATTCCAGTCCCTGCTATATATGAAACACCTGAATAGTGAGGAGGAGACGATAGTGAAGAAGGCTGTCCAGAGAAATGCATACTTCGCCCACACAGATCAACTTCTTCTTGGTATGTGTGTGCAGATGAGGACATGACTGTTAGAGAAAAAGCTGTCTCAATGATAAGAAAAATTAGAGAGGAGAATCAGCAAAAGGAAGAATGCACTGGCAGATCTGAAGAGGAGGAGGAAGATTCTGTTGCTGCTGTTGACGAGAATTTGTTAAACTATACTGATGAGGAGGGTAAAGATGGAGATGGGAATGAGGATGTGCCTCCTGTAGTCAACATGAGAAAGGTGGTGACTCCGAAACTAAAGTGGCAAGCAAAAAACTATCATTCCATGATTAACTGGAGGAATGAACTCAAGACTGAGCCTCCTTACATTGCTTCTCTGTCAAATCTACAGGTTAATGACATTCTTGAGACACCATTAGTGGTGCCCAAGTGGTCAAACAGCACTCAGGCGGTCGAGAGAGGCATAAAAGTGATGACTGAAGCTTGCACTGAAGTGACGGGATACGAATCGAGAGATAGATATATTAGGCAAAGATTATTGTCTAGGAAAATGATGCCAAGGTTCCGCACAAAAAAGAATTTCAATATGAACTTGTAATGATTTTCTATACGGTGTACCTGTAAAATAACATGTGAATTAAATCGATGTCACCCATGTAAAATTTATCATTATCCTGGAAAACATTAAATGACACCTAATTTTTGGTACACACTAAAAGTTGACAAAAAGTCGTTCGCGATGCGGCAGGGTAAGTATGCATGAAATGGCATGAAATTTTGCACAGGTGTTTGTTACAGCCATACAAACGATGCCTGAAAAGTGCAGCCTGCAACTCAAATAAAAGTGTTTTTTCCCTGCCCCCTAGCTTCTCAAATTTCGCGAGTTTTTTATTCAACGTATTTTATTGGAACACACAAAAAAAAATTTTTTTGACTGCGGAAACTTGAATTTCGACGGGTTTGAACAGCCCGCCAACGTGCAGACGACGTGCATAATCGTGTAAACAGTGTCATTTCTCTAATGTACAAAAGATTCATTATTGTGTTTTACTGAATGTCTTTTTTATTGAATTAATGTTTGTGTGCAAAATGAGCAATACAATTCATTAATAATACGTAGAATATTAAAACATACAAGGAAATGACACAGCATTGTTTTCGTTGATTACAAAACCAGTGACTGACTGGTTCTACATATAAAACTGAAGAAAATAAGACTTTGGTTGTAGCTGTTGTAAAATTAATATGGTTGTTTTAAGTAATGTTATTTAATGTTAATAAATGGAACAATAGAAGTAGCTAATGATAATGGTAAAGAAAAAGAGATCGCGTATGTAAGTGCGCACACGTGAAAACATATCGTCATTTACATAAGAATATGAAAGCAACACTTATTTACTGTTCATATATATTTTAATTAATGTTTCTGAATTTGTTTTTATTGAATTAATGTTTGTGTGTGCAAAATTAACAATACAATTTATTAATAATACGTGGAATATGAAAACATACGAGAAGACGAGACGGCTGCCGGCATTGTTTATGTTAAAGCTTACAAAACCAGTGACTGATTGGTTCTACATATAAAAAACTGAAGAAAATAAGACCCTGATTGTAGCTGTAGTAAAATTAATGTAAAAAAAATAATATGGTTGTTTGAAGTACCTGTAATGTTATTTAATGTTAATAAATGGAACAATATAAGTAGCTAACCATTAATGGTAAAAAAAAAATGAGACTGCCCGTGTGTAAGTGCACACATGTGAAAACATATCATCATTACTCTACATAAGAATATGAAAGCAACACTTATTTACTGCTCATATATATTGAAGGGTTAAATTTTGTACTCTGTATAGACAAGCAGAGAGAGAGAGAGAGAGAGAGAGAGAGAGAGAGAGAGAGAGAGAGAGAGAGAGAGCAGCCGAACTGCCGGATGTAAACAAACCTTTAATTTCCCACGGCTTTGTTGTTTTTTTACGGGGATTAGCCCACCCGGGCATAGGTCACTGACCCACATTGGGGCCTGAGGGGCAAAAATTTAATACTCCTGTAATAATAATAATAATAATAACTCAGATAAGTAAAAAAAAAAAAGAAAAAAAGTTGCCTATCTACCTATTGGACAAACTAAAATTGTTCCGGACCACGGGAGTTTCCGGACCACAGAATGCCGGACTGGAGAGGTACAACCTGTATATATATATCTTGATAAAATCACACAGGGAAAAGGAAATCAATTGAGAACCTTAGCTTTCCTCCTTATTCAAGACATCTTCAGAGGCAACTGAATTACAAATACTGTACAGAGAGAGCTTATGTACACAGGGTGACCTTACAAAACATGAGGTCAGGTCATAAACATGACATCCATGACTAGTTATGTCGCCCGTTCTTATAATCTCTTCTTATGTTTGCTGTGTGGTTGGTGTGTGGATTAGTGGATGTCATGTTTTTTTACCTGACCTCATGTTTAGTAAGGTCACCCTGTGTACATAAGCTCTCTGTCTTTGTAATTCAGTTGCCTCTGAAGATATCTTGAATAAAGACAAAAGCTAAGGTTCTCCATTGTTTCCCTTTTCCCTGTGTCATTTTATCAAGATTTATCTTATCCACGTTTCCATTGTGAATGTAAGTGTTGTTTAAATATTTTATGTACAGCATATTATTGTTTTTAGCGTAGGATTTTTTTCGGTGATGCGTGTGGATGTTGGAATGGCTGGGAATGTACAATATCTAATTGAATCCGATGTATTAATGGACTCCGATCTATGATATTTCACATTGAGATGGTTTTTCAGGAACCTAATCCCATCATAAATAGGGGGATACTTGTACAGTATGAAGTTGTCAGGTTGAAAGTCCTTGGTTCTGAGGTTCAGTACTGTAAATACATTAAGGGATTTTGAAGCATTATTAATTAGAGTACGGTATTATGGAGGTGGTTTCTTTGATGATGTACATTATAATTTATTGCCAATGGTATAAGTTAGTATCCTTCTATCTCTTAGAGCAGTAAACGAAAAAAAATAATTGCTTTAAACTCGCTAAGATACCATACTTAGAATCACATTAAATATGTACACTATAGTCCTGTACACACATAAGAACTTCTGATCATTGTTGACATTTGAGACTGACATGAAATCATTTATGAAAATTTTAACCTAACCTGTTCTAATGATCTTAATTCATTTTTTAATTAAGTTTAGTCTGTTTTGTTCTGTATTGTGTGAATCATCTATCAAAAATGATTTACTTTAATGCCATAGTCTCACAGATTTGTGTAGGCATTTAACATACTTATAAGTACAGTAGTAACTTACATTCACACTTTTAATTTTGCTAATCAAAGTAAAAAAAATAAAATTACAGTCCAAAAACAAATGGGTCCAAGCACAGCATTTTCTTATTTTACTCACAGTGCTATTCAAAGATGTGTTGAAATACTTAAGAAATGTAGAACTGCAGTAGAAAGGAATAAAGAACAATTAATGAATTATTGCCTGATTTAAACCATTCTTCTTCCACAGACAATGAAAAAGAAGTTTTTTGTGCTGCGTCGTGAAACAGGGGCTGAAAATCCAGCGCGTCTGGAATACTACGACAATGAGAGGAAGTTCAATGCAGGTGTCCAGCCAAAAAAGTAAGTTGATGCATACAAATCTAATAAACAATTTTATCTAAGCAGCTCTGGTGAGTGGAGGGATTTAGGGGTCGGCGAGTTTATGAGCATGCTGTATATTATATAAGATAGTTTAATGAAATTTGGTGCAATTGATAAATACAGTATGTAGGTAAGCATGTTGATGGCTGATTTGCATGGGCCAAGATGACTTCAGTACTGTACTGTGAGCTGAGATGTATACTTCTGGTACTGTAAGAATAATCACTACATCCATCAGTTTAAAATAAAATTTCCTGTTGTATGGTACAAATTATATATATATATATATATATATATATATATATATATATATATATATATATATATATATATATATATATATATATATATATATATATATATATATATATATATATATATATATATATATATATATATATATATATATATATATATATATATATATATATATATATATATATATATATATATATATATATATATATATATATATATATCACTGTAGGTGCACGTGATCCAGGTATATGCTGATAACCACAAGGAAAAAAGAAAACACAAAGTTCCCTGACCTCATGTTTTTAAGGTCACCCTGTATATTTAAGCCTCTCTCTGTCCATGTAATCCAGTTGCCTCTGAAGATGTCTTGAATAAAGACGAAAGCTAAGGTGCTCCGTTGTTTCCATTTTCCCGTGTGATTTTATCAAGATTTATCTTATCCACGTTTTCATTGTGGATTTACATGAAATACAGTTGTACCCCACTTAACGCGGTCAATTGAACCCAGAGGGTCCCGTGTTAAGTGAAATCCGCGTTAAGTGAACAACAGAACATATGGGATTAATTCCAATAGAAACCGGCCCGACCCCCAAACTCCACTTTTTGAAGGCACATACCTATGTTGTAGTAAAAATAACATCTTAATTTTATGATGGTACATGCACACAATTAATACTTAAGAGAAATAGAGAAATACAGTCGCCAAGTTAATGTCCATTCAAATAATGGACTCAACTCCCTCCCCCTCTCACACTACACTCTCTGGCTCTTCCCTCTCAGAGAAATTTTTGGGGGAAAACCACTAAATTTTAATAAATAATGCCTCAAACTAAAGTTAGGATAATACAATTGACATTGCTGGATTCCTTGTAAGACCAGGAATATTTTGAATATAAATGTCATATATTTTGCACAAAAGATAACATAGTTAATTTGAGAAAATTTTTTATCTAAAATTTGTATGTCTAATGCAAAAATATGATGTTTATATTCAAAATGATCATCAAATTATAAGAATTCCAGCAATGTAAATTATATTCTAGCCGGGTAATTTGTATGAATTTTATGAGCTAAAACAGGCAGTCAGGCAGGGTGGGGCAAATCTAAAAATAGCGTCTCGAGCCGGACACTCACCGCGTATATGTGGAAAAAATCCGTGTTAAGTGAAAGTTCAGCTCTGGCGAGGCACCGCGTATATGATAAAACGCGTTAAGTGAAACCGCGTTAGGCGGGGTAATATGTATATATATATATATATATATATATATATATATATATATATATATATATATATATATATATATATATATATATATATATATATATATATATATATATATATATATATATATATGCAAGTAAATCACTGTAGGTGCGCGTGATCTAGGTATATGCTGATAACCACAAGCAGTCTGGTTTAGATATGTTGATGATGTATTATGTCTCTGGCCATGTAATGAGGACCTAAAAGCTTTCCTGCCACAACTTAACAACTTAGCCCCCTCGATCAAATTCACTGTGGAATTAGAGAAAGACTGTAAATTGCCATTCCTAGACTGTCTGATATACAGAATAGGTAACACTTTTCAGTTCAGTATTTATAGAAAACCAACTAATGTGTGTTCATACATTCATTATTATTCTGCCCACCATAATAAAGTCAAACAGTCAGCATTTTCAACAATGTTTTTACGTGCCTTGAGAATTTGCAGTCCGGAATTCATCGATGAGGAATACAAATATATATATAATATTGGCTCAAACCTTAAATACCCTCGATCTTTCATAGACAAATGCCTAAACATTACTAAGAAAACTTTTTATAGAACTGACCCCAAGCCCACCCATGACCATAAGAATATCTTAATATTACCATTTCACAAAAATTTCTCACACATTCCTTCACAACTAAAAACCTGGAACATCAATGTGGCATTTATAAACTCATGCACTGTTAAACGAATGTTAATCAAGAACTCCGCCAACAACACAATTGGTTGCATTTATAAAGTTCCTTGCAAGGAATGTAATATGTTTTACAATAGGCCAGACAGGTAAAGATCTTGCAACTAGAATTAAACAACACAAATACAGTGTTAGGACAGGCCAGGAATCCAATGCTCTGTTTGTTCATTTGAGGGATAACAAGCATTGCATTGACTGGGATAATGCCTCCTCAATATTACCATGTAATTCAATTGATAGTAGGAACATCATAGAATCTAGTCTTATTAAACATACCGAAGCATTCAACATGAATTTGAGTAAGGGCATGTACAAGCTGGACAATTTTGTAATTAAGAAGATTTGTAACCAGGTGAGAAGGTCGGGTCACCTGACCATCTGACCTGACCACCAACCGTTGTGTGCTATTTAAAGATTAGTAGGGTCATTACCTAATACCTGACCATTGTGGACCTGGTCTCACCCTCCTCTGTATATATACACCTTGATTTGTATTTCTCTCTTTAGTCTGTACTCACCCCTGAAGATGTGAATTACACGAAAGCGCTTGGGAACTTCGTGTTTTCTTCTTTCCTTGTGGTTATCAGCATATATATATATATATATATATATATATATATATATATATATATATATATATATATATATATATATATATATATATATATATATATATATATAGAAATAGATATAGATATATATATATATATATATATATATATATATATATATATATATATATATATATATATATATATATATATATATATATATATATATATATATATATATATATATATATATATATTGGATTTTTAAAATCAGCTTATTTACCTGTACAGTATTCTACTATCATGTGTTTGATGGAATATGCTAACAACACTTCTCATACATTTGTACAGTATTAGTGAAAGTATTGTGCAGTATGAGTGCATTATTTTCTCAATAGAAACTAGCTAGAAAAAATTTCTGATTATATAAATATGAATCTATACTGTGCAGTACTTTGTAAGTTGAACATTTGCTTTCTTCAGATACATTTGTTTACAATCATATGGATACACTCACTAATATCTTCTCCAACAAAAATAATTAAAGATATTAAAATACAGCTGCATTATAAACTACTTATTTTGCTCAATCAATTTAAGCCCACTAGATTCAGTGATATATCCATTAGCTGGAATAATTGGTGCAGAGTGGTTCCAGGAATGAGAGATTTCCAGGTATGGAGATGAATTATTTCATCCCTGGAATTGTTCTGGGTACAGTACTGTATATACTGGGGAAAGTTTTCTGCGAGTTTAAATTACACATCTTACATGGACAGACACATAGCTGTACAGTATTTATTAATGCAAACACCACTGTCCATGTACAGTGGCTAACAATATGATACCATAGACGATAAATTTTGGTATATGAGGGCTGTCACTAGTCACACGTAGAATTTCGGAGCATATCGACCCCCACCTGCACAGATAGTTGTTTTAGCGACTGTACAATGCAGTATTTTGTAAATAAACAAAGTACTGTACAGTATTCTGTAACTGTATATACTGTACTACTCACCAGCAGATGCTATTGTCTGGAGTTTGTGGATGAAGGCAGGCCTGTAGCAGGTGTTCCTAACTTTCTCTCTCCTCTCCCTCTATGAAGGGGGAATTGCACATGCCCCGTATACTGTGCATACACCCTCTACACACTAGCATATACTGTCCATTCTGCTATGTAAAATACCTGTACTGTATTGTACAGCCATGGAGATTCCGGGTGGTGTGTTGTCCATGTGGTACAGTAGTTCATTCTTAGGTGTTGACATGAAGGACCTCACATGGTCATGGAAACACTGAGTGGTGTGGTGTTCACGTGGTGCAGTAATTCATTCTTAGATGTTGATATAAAGCACCTCATGTGGTCATGGAGACACTGGATAGTGTGGTGTTACAGTGTGAGACACAAGGTGGTACGGTGTGGTGTTACAGTACCTCACTCTCGTAAAGCTGTGGTCACACTAAAGTTTCTACCCAGAATAAATCCACCGTAGGGTTGAATTTTCAACGATCTCCTCAAGTTGCCTCTACAGCGATAACTTATTTGTTGTCGAAAGTTGGACGATACTGAGCGTCTGAAAATCCTTGGTACAGTGGGTTGACATTTGCTATAGAGTCTTTTGTATTAATAAAATTTAAACCATTCTTATTTTTTCTTATTAATATTAAAATGTACTTAAAATAGAAAACAATATATATTTCAGTAACAAAACATGAGCAAAAATGTCATATTAAATAAAAAGTAAGAATACCTCACGATGGGAATTTCATTTGAGTAGATTACCTGCTTCACTTTTGTAAACAAACATCGCCTGGATGCTACAATCGTTTCTTTTTTGTCTTGGTCTTTAACAGGACCACGCATTTCACTAAAGCGGTTAATGCTGCCATAGAAACCTACAATGAAGCCATCTTACGATCCAACTGAGCTTAAACTAGCTGAGTGAGTTGGGCGCCTGGCCAACGGTTCCTTTCACCAGTGTGACCAGTGTGCCTGTGGATGAAATGCTATTGTGAATTTATTGCAAGGAAAAATCTCGTGTGATTGCAGCTTAAGTGTTGTTGTGTTATTTCGTGGTTAGATTTAGAGCCGAACCACAGTTGTTCCCAGAGTATACTGATTAAACATTATACTCGCCTGGTCAGAAGATGGTGGTCGGTTCTTACGGGTGCTTATCTCTGGGTGTGGACCTCTTTGATGGG